ATTTTACAGACACAATTCATATTGCTTATTAAGTTCTTTCAAAGCTATTGTAAATCACAATAAAGTGGCAGATATGTATTGCTATTATTCAAAATTGTTATAAATTTTACAATAAAAACCACAAGAATAGAATAGTTTTAATCATATCTTTTGAAGTGTTTAGATTCAGGTGATTTTTCAACAGAAACTGTATTACATGATGTTGATAATTCATTCCGTTAGGTTAAGTGAAGAATAAGTGATTGGACTTTCCCATAAATACCAAGAAGTCAAAATAATAACAGTATACTACAAAAATGTTGGTAAATTCTTGCAAATGATGTTTTATTTTTGACTATACAAGAAAATTTTTGATAGAGCTGCAATTCCTACTAAAATTTATCAACCATGTAGTAAAATGCTCTGTAAAAGTGCATCTAACATATCTTAGCACATCGTAGGAGACAATTAAATTGGATCAAGCGATAAAGGTTATAAATGATCAACTGATATGGTATACCTCAACAAATTAATCCAAATACCTTCAGCGAAAACGGTGAATAAAGCAAATGATGGGAAGTAATTGAATTCTTCCCCACAAATACTTCACAACTAGGAAGTAACTGTTGGTTTGTAAAATTTCATTTTTAGTTCAGTTCATGCTTATATTTCTTCAATGGGAATCACCAAATCTGTTGTCACATTTGAACTACTGCTTCTCTTTTAGAAAAATATGTTTTTCTTCTACTTTTGATGATAAGATATGATCCACTCCACCAAAAAACTAGTAAATTCTTACTTAATATTTAGTTGTAGCGTCAAGTAACATTAATAACAAACAATTTAATAGTAGAGCAATCTGAAAGACTTACGACCAATTTTTAGTGATAAGAAGAAGAAAAACTCATAAGAAAGAATGTTGAGGGTTGGTATAAATCCCTTCTACCACTCAATAAGGCATACAACTAATGGATCTTCAATTCATGCTTATATTTCGTAAATGGGAACCACCAACCTGTTGTTACATTTGAACTACTAGCATATCTTTAACCCTTAAATGCCCAATCGGGGTCACTATGGGACCCCAGACATACATTTTTGGCTATATCTTTATTTGAAACATTTGGCAACCGCGCAATCAGGTATTTGTGTGGACGTGTCTCCTACGTTTAGTGTTAGTATACCACGAACATTCGTGAGGTGCAGTGGTCTGTAAGAGAGATTTGAAGATAAGTGGGGTCTCGCTGTGACCCGATTGGGCATTTAGGAGGCACCCAGAATATTTTTTATTTATTTTTAACATTTTTCGTCAGTATTACATTGGAAAAATGGACCGTAAGAGAATGAAAATGACAATAAGGCGACCAAGAACATGAAATAAATTATCCGAAATATAGAAGAAGGGATATCAGACTCCGATTTCGACTATGAGATTACCGACGAATCAGATAGCGAAGAGCAAGATGTTTTTGAGGAAAATGTTTCGGAAACTGAGGACAATTTAGAAGTCAACAGTGACGAGGAATCAGATGCAGAAACCTACCGAAGTGGACGATAATATTAGTGAGGTTTAGTGGTCCAACATATACATCCAAATCTGGAATGCAGTGGAATAGCCTACCTTTCGTGAGATCCAAGAGGGCAACAAAAAAATATTATAAATGTACATCCAGGCTTAACAAACTATAGTAAAAATTCCAACATGTTTTTTAGACTATTTCAATTTATTTTTGACCGAAGAGATGAAGAATGTCATATGCCTTCATACTAATGAAGAAGCTGTTAGGCGTTATCAAGAGTGGAACGAAAAACATCCGAATAACAAAAAAGAGTGGACGATACTTACAAACAATGAACTGGATAGCTTTTTAGGAGCACTTATCAAAGCTGGTGCTTTAAGGTGTGGGGAAAGAATCGACACGAGAGATATGGTCTACAGACACCCTCAATACGCCGGTCTTTTTTACAGCCGCATTAGCTAGGAACCGATTTGAAGAATTATCGAGTTTCTTGAGGTTTGATGACAAAGTGACCAGGGTGGAGCGGAAGGAACAGGATAAGTTAGCGGCGATACGAGTTAATTTGGGACATGTTCGTCTCTAACTGTGACAAAGCCTTTGAACCATACGAACATATAACCGTTGACGAACAGTTAGTGAGTTTTAGAGGAAAGTGTCCTTTTAGACAATATATAAATATCACAAAACCTTGCCGCTATGGATAAAAAATTTGGGCTGCCGCGGATGTTAAAACATCTTATTTATCAATACTTTCAGGTGTACCTTGGAAAAACTACCAGGTGGTAGAATAGAGAAAAATCAGGGATTTCGTGTTGTGAAAGATCTGGTGGAACCATATCATGGCAGTTGGAGAGGGAATTACAACTGACAACTTTTTTACCAGTGTTCCTCTTGCTCATATCTTTTATCTAAAAACCTTACTTTACTTGGGACCGTCCGCAAAAATAAACCTGATACACCACCACAAACTAAGTTTGACAAAAAGACCTGCGGAGTCGTCAATATTTGCTTTTACTAAAAAATTAGCTATGGTTTCGTACATACCTAAAATACACAGGATGGTACATCTTCTTTCAAGTCAAACACGATAGTGATATAATTTGTCAAGACTCTCAAAACAAACCCTTGATGATTTTAGACTATAATAATACCAAGGGTGGTGTTGATAATGCCGACAAACTGATTAGGGAATTATTCCTGTAAAAGAAGAACTGCTCGTTGGCATTCAGGCTCTTTATGAATATTATAGACATATGTGCACTAAATGCCTATATTTTATACATTGAAAAAAATCCTGATTGGAAGAAAAATAATTTTTTCACGAAGACGTATTTTCCTGTTACAATTAGGGGCTGAGCTTGCTCGAAACAACATGGAAAAAAGAGCGAAAATATATAAAACATAAAGCCTATGTAAAATCTGCTCTAAAAGATTGTGGCATACCAATGGTAAACCCAACTACCGAAGTTGCAACTCAATCCGTCCATTCAGCTAAGAAACGTGCTCGTTGTTACCAGTGTCCGCGAAACTGTGACAGAAAAGTGAATTACCGTTTGCTCTTTTTGCAAAAAATTTATATGCCAGGTGCACAGAAAAGAAGAAAAAAACTATTGTATGTAAAAATTGCAACTAAAAGTTATATGCTTATATTATTATTTAATTTTAATTTTGTTCGAATTGAAAAGAATTTGTTTCTAGAAAAAGCCGTTAATTTTGTATGAAAAATAAATAAAAATTATTCAAATATGCTTAAAATTATTTTTAACCGTGTTTTCCTTTTAGTCAGTGCTAAATGACGTTACTAATTGAAAATTTTAGTGGGGTCCCTAGGAGACCCCACATGGGCATTTATGGTTATTTTCATATCACGGGCATTTAAGGGTTAAGAACAATATAGGTAGTTGATATTTTTTTAGAAAGCGTATGTTACTTATTGTTAAACGGTATGAAGTTTTTTGGCGCGCCTACATATAGGCAACTGTAACGATATAAAATCAACAAAGTAAGTCGAGCTTTCTTTAAAAATACCTAAATTATCATAGAGAAAGCATTTTAAAGCTCTAGTTGTTCCTAAAGTTGGCGTGAAAAGAGCTAGACAAATGTAAATGCTTGATTATAGGTCAATAAAAGTTCAAAAGTAAGTAAACATTTCTTTAAAAACGCCTAAATTCCATGAGACCTATTTGTTGATGAAGTTAGTAAGAAGCTTCCTTGGAATGTATATATCTAAATACTGGATAGATCAAGTAAACTCATAAAGATAAATCAATATGTTTGACAAAGTCAAATCTACATACGGGATTTATTTGTTGATAATGTTGTTAAACTTTTTCATTATTTACTAGAAAATGGTTTCCAAACAAAATTAAATCAATTTAAAAAAAAAACGCTGTATATTTACAAGCTTCCATGGAGCGCCTATAGATAAGCAATTCTAAATACTTTATGATAAACAAGTCAATATTTTTTTAAAAACGTCTATTCCATTCGTATGGCTTTATTTGTTATAAAAATTGGTAAGAATGTTTCATGTAACGCCTACAGGTAGGCAAATGTAAATACTTAATCACAGATCAATACAAGCTAAAAATAAGTAAAATTTCTTTAAAAAACGCCTAAATTATCATACATTAAGCGCTTTAGAGGTCTAACTGTTGATAACATTGGCATAGTGATTGCATAGTATGCATGCAAATTGGTTTCTTTCAATACACAATGAAGATTTAATAAATGTTTGAAAAATACATTAATATATTTTTTAATTCCCTAAATTATTATTTAATAAGCGTTTTTAGGAATGTATTTGTTGATACGATTGATATAAACATTGTCCAACATCGTTGACAGTTAAAAATGTTGTTTTCTTAAAGCACAAATTTTTAAAAATTATTACACCAATACACGGATCATTATTACTTAAAAACACCAAAAAATTTGAAAAAATCAACATATTACACCAAAGTAGTTTGCAGTCACTATAAAAATACAGGAAGGCACTTATGAGGATTCGCTTCTAGACATTTTTGAAATTTGTGCATTTGAACTACTGGTCTACGGTCACAGTTCAGCTAGTGGTGTAAAGAAGTCAATAAGCAATACGAAACGAGGAATCAAAACATTTTTAAATCTTCGAAAAGACAACTATACTAAAAATCAGACTAGAAGTTTGTTTCAGCTACCCACCTACTTGTAGAAACTAATTCAACATTGTGTGTTCTTCAAATATTATTCACTTATTCTCAAGTAAATACAGCTTATTCGTCGTCACGAATAAGTTTATAAGGAAAAATTGACCAACTATAAAATTTTTCAAATACCAATAGCTAACAATATATATCTCTCTCTTTTTGCTATCTGTGCTATGTTCAATCTGCTCTCATATATTTCTGCTTAATGAACGTACAGGTTTCATCCCACGGCAATTACAAAGTCTCTCGAATAGACAGCGAAACACTCGTTTGAGTGACAGTAATATCCAGACAAATGAACTCTACGAATCCTTCAACGAGGTGGTAACATTCCTAAAAAATACAAAAGGTTAACGAATGTTCTACACTAAACATTGATTGTAAATGCTATAAAAATTGATTTATAGTGACAGAAAGCGATGAAAAAGAAAACATTTGTATAGAGGAAATGAATTATTGCAGCTGTGGATGATCAGTTGTGCGTTAGAGCAATTTTGCCTTTGTTTCTTTCACTCTCATTCCATGCGAATTAGTATTTGGTTTATTTATCTCCATCTTCACTAATTAACACATCTGTTCCATATCTCTTCGTTTTTCGAACTTCCAAATGTTTATAAAATCCATCAATACCTCTTTTATTTGTTAATACTAATAATGACCATAACTTTTCGTATACCACAGGTACAAAATAGTCGCCAATCGCATGACTGAATGAATGGAAGAATAAGTGACAGAAAAATATGAACTTACCATTATTTGCAGTCGTCAAAAGTCGATACAACTGAGAATTCGGATTTTCCAATTCACTAGCCTCAATAAAACTCTCAGCCTCACTAATCGCCAAATGACAATACTGAGTCCCTTCCTCCAAGCTGTAATCCACCAACTCGCCGCTGATCATATTTTCCACAACTTTCTCGAACTCAGCTACGTCGTCACTACTGTCCTTTTTCTGTTCGATGCTATCAGCAACAACTGGGACTTCCTCCTCCTTACATTGCACTTCGTTACCCAACAGATCGCGGTGTTTCTTTCTCTGGTGCTGCAATAGTTTGGCCTTGCTGGCATATTGTTTGTGGCACCACATGCAGTTCTGCGGCCTGGTGGTGATGCTGCCCACGGTCTGGGAGAAAGTCGGGTTGGGAAGACCGGACACTTCTTGTAGGGAAGCACCTCGCTTTCTGTTGCTCATCGGCAAAGCGGCGCCTGGGTGGTTCTTTAGGATGTGCGCCTTTCTTTTGGAGCTGCTCTTGTAGACCTTGTCGCAGTATTGGCAATAGTAATCCCGCGTGGTTTGTAAAATTGGTAGATTCAGCTCTGGTACCGAATCGGGAGGAATGTCGGGGTGTTTTTTCGCTAAATGATTGACCAGCATACCTAAAACATTGATATATCACATATCATTTGTTTAAACAATTTGATTACTGCAATAGTAATTGATAAATGTTTGAAAAATACAGAGTGCTTAGATGGTACGTGTAAAAGATAGTGGAGAAAATAATTGTTAGCGACTACAGGATGAGGAAAATGCAGATTGTATCCGGCTTGAAGGACCAATGCACATACTTTTCGGAGATCCCAGAATGTTTTAAAAGATAATTTGTTGACAAAAGTTTGTTTAAAGATGGAGATGACTGACACTAGTTCAGAAGTGTCTTTTGTAGAAGACAATTCTTATAGTAGTAGTCTATTTTTGTTAGTGACCGGGGCATATTTGAAAATTTTTGTAAACGATAAACTTGCTTCAAAAATAATAGAAATAAAAGAGATAATACAATTTGTTAGGGACTTAAATCTGAATCGTAAATTCACAACACAAAAAATGACCAATACAATAAGCCTTAAAAACTACTTTACTCACCTCTTCTCTTGAATCCCACCATGCAGCTGTGACATTTATATATAAACCTGTGAAAATCAGTGGGTTCGACCCTCGGCATAAACTTCTTGATCTTTTTAACGTGCTTCAACTTCGGAATCGTATTTTCTCTCTCCTCGGAATGGATCCTCTTGCAGTGCTCTTGCAACTTGTCCTTTCTTTTAAATTGTTTGCCACAATTGGCACAAAGAAACTCTTTGTGATCGGAATGTCTGAGTAAATGCACCTTCAACTTGTCCAAGGAGGGAAACCGCTTGCCGCAATCGGGACAATCGTGCGTTACGTCGCAGTGGAAGGCTCTGATGTGCTTTCTGACGATGCTATATTTTTTGAAGACCTTCTTGCAGTGCGGACAAGTGAACGTGTTGTTATGGCAGTGGCTGGGCACGTGCAGTTTTAGTTTGAGTACGTGGTCGAAGCGTTCTTTGCAGATCGGGCATTCGAATACTTTTTTGCCGACACTGTGCGTTTTAAGGTGGCACGACAGAGCCGAATTGTTCAGGAATCGTTTGTTACAGGTCTTGCATTGTATTGGCTTGTTCTCGTCCGAGCCGTGTACTACCATATGTCTCTGGAAATACATACGGAAACGTGTTAGAAATAATATTCTTATGTTCAGATACAATTTAAGAACTATACTAGTCCGCGAAAGCTAGGAAGAACTACTGCAGGTTGTAGTATTATTCCTAAAATATTATAATTCATACTCGTGTAACATAGTTTCGCATTTTGTTTATATAAAATATGTTTAGTAATTTGAATCGAGGACATTCATAAATATACTCTAATTAGAATTTATAAATCAGCAGTATTGCCAATCACGACATATGCTTGGCGTAGGTCATGAACAAACTTGACATACTTACTAATAAGTAAACTGCTGATACAGGTAAGGCCTACTTTTAAAAGCGACAACAATCATTATCTGGGGGAGCAGAGCTAATTTAACGTCAAGATGGCAAGTTAATGTATCACGTATTGTCACAACGTCAACTAAGTATAGTAGCCTCGTATTTCCGTGAGACTGTGCAAAAATATATGTATCTGTAATAAAATCATTCAACAAAAAGGTAATCTACCAGGAGTCTGTAAAATTATCAATGACTCAGACATATAATAATACAAAGTTTCCAGATTCCACTCGATATTAACATTCAGACGTGCCTGGTATAATCTTTTAAAATATGAACCAGATATGAACAATCAACCAATTAAGTTTTCATCGAACTTATGATAAGTCCACGTGAACTAACGGCCAATGAAAACATCGGATATCGCTGTTATGACAAATCATAATGCGTTATCTTTTGTTGGTAGACTTATTCATACTTGGGGTAAGATAATATCAGTATTTGACTGAGCTTACGGAGTCATAAAATAAGGGATCAGGTTTCGACCGCCCAGTGCCGAAGGCACGGGACGGGGAAAACTTAGGTAGGCAAATTTTTATATTTTATTTTTAAATTGCGGATATGACCAACAGATTTTTGGGAGACAAGAATATTTTTAGTAAAATCATAACTGCTACAGCGTTCAGTTAAATTCAAATTTCAAATAGTGAACCGCAAGTTAGTTTGGTAATGACTTTTTTCAGTGTTCTTTATACGGAAAACATTTTATATTTTACGTTTTTTACTTTTTTTGATACGTTTTTACGTGATTATTTTTGTATACGTTTGATAATTTTAAAATATTGCGTCCCTGGTGCGATAATAATTATGTAGCTGAAGAGACAATGGAACCCTCTAATCGATTGGAAGATTTACGAAGGCGTGTAGTAAAACTTAAGCGACATTTTTCATACCTTTCTGATGATGCCAAACGTAGGCTAAAAAATGTTTATGAAGGACTGTGTGCTGAATTGTCTAAATCAGAGGCAATTGCAGAAACATGTTTTTTAACCAGAGTGTCCAAAGCAACCTGCTACAAAATTATAGGAGAAACATCTTCTTCTAGACAGAAGAGAAAGGATTGTGGCAAATTCAGAAAAATAGAACAGCACTTAATTGAATCTATAACTAGAACAATATACCAAATGTATGCAGCTAATATTTTTCCAACTATTGAAAGCCTTCGAAGTGAATTAGTTCGAAAGTGCATTCTCTCGTGTTCAGCAACAACACTTCGATTATTTCTTAAAGCCAATAATTTTAAGTACAAATCTATAGACAAGAGACAGACATTAATGGAAAGTACTAGAATAATTTCTTTAAGAAACAATTATATCAGACAGATAACTGAGTATCGAAAAATGAAACGAAATATTGTTTATTTAGATGAGACCTGGTATGATACTCATGACACCGTGAAAAAAAAGTTGCACAAATAATAACAAAAAGTGTTTCAACTCAGTACCGCCCAATAAAAGAAAGAGGATTATAATTTTACACTGCGGTGGAGAAAATGGATGGATCGACGATGCATTATTAATATCTGCAAAACAAATTAAAAACGCGTCTCTGGATTATCATGACGATATGGAAAGTTCAATTTTTGAATCATGGTTTGAAAAATGTCTTCTTCCGAAATTACTTAAAGATAGTGTGATTATCATGGACAACGCATCATATCATTCAAGATTAATGAAAAAAAACTTCAAATAATAGTTGGAATAAATTAAAAATTCAGGAATTTTTATTCACGGAAGATTTGTATTTTGAGACATCTTATATTAAAAAGCAACTGTTGGAGGTTGTTCATAGTAAACAGTACGAAAAGGAATATGTTGTTGACAACTGTGCTCGTAGTAACGGGCATACTGTGTTTAGACTTCCTCCTTATTATTGTACATTGAACCCAATAGAGTTAATATGGGCTCAACTTCAAGGAAAATATAATGAGAAGAAACGTTGCTCCAAAATGTTTTGTCTCCTGTTCTCCAGTTAATTAGAAGAGAAGTCACAAAAATTACAGCAACCAACTGGAAAAATATAATAAAAATAAAAGATGTGATCGGAGTGGACAATGACTATGTTAAATATTTACCAGCATTAACCAAATTACCTATAAATTTAGATGATACGAGTGATACTAGTGATAACAGTAATTGTAAGTAGATTTTTAAGTACTTATTAGGTGTTAGTTGAAACCTTTATTTCTATTTTAATTGTAGATATTCTTATTTTGCTTATATATCTTTGAAAACAGGATATAAACACACTTCTTGATAGGACAAAAATTATTAATGTTTTAGGGGAGGATGTCAACTGAAACTGTCACTGTCATTCTCGCTGAATAACTACTATTATTAACAATGTTTTATATAGATATTATTATTTTACAATAAGTTTTGTTCAGTCGAGTCGAATAGTGTTATCACTCCCAAGATATATCACAGAAGTTAAAAACACCGATATTTTTTATTTAAACTTTATAGAAAATGAAACTTTTTGGTAAATAAAATTAAATAAAAGTAAAAACTTTTATTTAATTTAAAATTAGATATCTACGCTACTGTTCTACTACTATGTACTACAATAAAGTAGTGGTAACTCTAACAGCGTTGCCATTTTACTAGTATTTTGTTTGCTTTGGTCTCTGTAAATTTTCTCACGAAATTACGTGCCGACTATACATGTTGACGATTTTTTTCCTTTGCCACTCAAAAAATTCCTTTTCCAAAACCACTCTCTGCTACTTGTGCGCACTTGTCAGACTGTTACAATCAATAAACTAAAAAAAGGATCAGTAATTGTGACAAATTCGGGGGAAGGTTTCGAGATATTAAAACAAAAGTTATTAGAGGGATTTAAGAAAAAATACAGCAATTTGTGAATAACCAATGAATAAAAAAAGATATACTCACCAGTAGACGATCTGGATGCGAAAAAATCTTATAACAAATTGTACATTTATTCTTCTTCGGTTGCGTGGCACTGATGACGGCGTGTTGCATTACGTGTAACACCAATTGACGTTGTGTGGGAAACTTCTTTTGACAGTCAGGACATACGTGGTTCATTAGTTCCTCCGAGGTGTCAGGATCGTGCTTAAAGCTGTGAATTTTTAACAAACTTTCCGACTTAAAGCTGGCGGTACATGTATTGCATTTGTAAATACTGAAAGGAAAAGAAAATTGATTAATGTTGTCTGTTTAAGAAGAGAATAGTACTAACGTAATTGCAACGAAACATTCCTCGACGGTTCCTTTTGCCAGCTGATGCTTATGTAGGATATGTTGTTTCAAAAAGTTGTGATTGCATTGGAAAAAGGTCTCGTAGCAGATTTGACATTCGACGGCTTCGTTATGAAACTTCTTGAAGAAAAACAGTTTCTTCTTCTTCGGTTTGACGTTCTCGTCTTTCTCCTTATCGTGCGTATCGAGATGTTTCTGCAGCTCATTGGAGGAATTGAATATGAGGCTACATTCGTAGCAAGGCCAACAGAAGTCTTGTTTCGGTTGTAGCCTTGGTAGATCGTAGAAATCTGCATACACCTTGCTGTACCATACCTGAAAGATATAAACATAATAGGAAATTGTTGAATATGGAACAAAATTAGAAGATATTTAGAATATTTTACACCAATAGTACAAAAACAAAGAATGAATGGTAAAATCTTACAAAAAAAAACAATTACTTACAAATTAATGGCTAGCTTCGTAAGAATTTATGTAAAATTCGAAAATATTGACTATAACAAGAAAAAAACTTACCCTCAACTCTTGTTTTGGCAGGATGACAGTTGTTGTGGTGAAATAAATACCGTTGTCTTCTTGTGTTACCACTAAATTTTGTTCTTCATACGTCGTTGCCTTTCTGACAAACATCATCCAATTCGACGTGTCTACAAGAAGAAAAAAATTAGCCTAAGTAAGAAGCGCAAGAGTTTTGTTATTTTATTTTTTAAGTTCCCTAGTTTTCGCCAAATATATTTGAAAATATGCTTCTATCATATCCGAAAAGTAGTTGTTCGATCTTCTTAAAATATCGTGAAGGTTCCCTAATTAGTTGCAAAACAGTGTCCTAGGAAACATTTTTTTAAATTTGATAATAGAAAATAGTCACGGGAGGTTAAATCTGGCGATTATGGTGGATGGTCGGTCGATTGGTATCTGAATTGTTGTAATTTTGGCAATACAATGTGTATATGATAATAGGCACAGAGGAAAGTCAAGGAACACCTGTAATGTCAATTGTCAACGTAAAAAGGTTTATAATTATTATTTCCCTGTTAGTTAAAAATACAAGTTGTATAAAGCTATAAAACTATGTTAAATCGTTTACATTCTTCCTCTACATCACACTAATTTGGCGACGAGGTAAATGGTAAAGGGATTGTGTATATTTTAAGGATTTCGTTTATGTACATATTTTTAGTGTACACATTGCTAAAAATGTCAAAGAGTGAAAACGATATCCAGGCCGCGGAGCCATGTGGATCAAGATTACAACCCATGACAGTTGTACATGCAGGGAATATATCTTTATTAGCAACGTTTTGAAGTGGTGACGATTTTAAAAGATTTTGAAGAAAGGTTATAACAACATTTATTGGCTAATTTAGTAGAGGAAAAAAAGTTGCTGTATTATTAACATTACTCAGTGAAGACATTTACAAAGTGTTGAAAAACCTATGTGTGCACCTAGCAAACGAAAAAAAAAATCATTTGATGATATTATGGCACTATTGAAAATCCAATTTAAATCTTGCATTGAAATTTATAAAAGAAGAATAAAATTTGAAGCATTGACACAGGAAGACGAAGCTATACATGAATGGTATATTAAAGTTAAAAATATGGCAACTCAATGTGAATTTGGTGATAAGTTGTATAGAAAACATACAGAAGCCAACTACTGAGATTTTCCCATTAATTTTTATATTAATTTATAGAGTACAAGAAAAATTTGTAGTTGGAATAAAAACAGGCCCAATATTAGACCGTTTATGTGAAAAAGATCCCCAAAGGACTTTAAAAAATCTTTTAGAAATACCACTGGCAAAAGAAACAGCTTTGAATGAATCCAGAGGAGTGGACATATATATTATTCAGAACCCAAGAGGGAAGGAAGTAAGGAAATCCAAGTAAGACAACCAAGTTCAGCAAATCAAACTAAGACTGGTAGAATATCTTTAAGTAATAAAAGAGATAATTTGTGTTTTTATTGTAATAAATATAAAAAAGTAGGGCATATTGCGACAGCATGTAAATTTAGGTTGAACAATTTTATAGAATACTTAGAAACTGATCATGTAGATGCTGAGGACAATACCTCAGAGGTAGATGGTATGGTGGAGATGCTGCAGATGGGTGTTTATAATGTTGAGGCTTATATTAAACCAATGTCAATAACCGTTTTAAGAAATCAGCAACCTACTGTTATGGAAATAGATACAGGAGCTGGTTTTTCTTGAATTCCATTTAGTATGTATAATTAATGTTTTTCATCAATGAGTTAAAACTAAATTTGATTAAATTAAAGTATTATGATGTGCCAGTGGTAATACCAAAAGGTAAAATTGCGGTACAAACTAAAATAGGTGATAGAGTTGAAAATGTTTCACTGACGGTAGCGGAGGGAGCTACTAAGGCACTGTTAGGCAGAGAAAAATCATGAAATGGTTCTTAAAGAAGCCTTAGCAATTGTTTGGGCAGTACAGAAGCTTTATCATTACTTAGCAAGTAGAATTGAAATCTTGAGTGATCATAAACCCCTGCAGGCACTTTTTGGTGAGTTTAAAAGTCTCCCCAAAATGGCCTCAGCAAGGTTACAGCAACAGTTACAATGTTTTCAAATTTATTAAATGGGCTGACAATGTGCAGGCAGATGCTTTGAGTCGACTTCCTCTAGAAAAAACAGTAAGCGAAAAAGAGGAAAAGACATTTAGACCAGATTTTGCGAGATACAGGATCTGATTGTAACTACGATAGTCTAAATGAAACCATTGTATCTGGTAATGAAGTAGCAAGTGAAGCAATGGTTAGTGAGATTATATGATGAGAAACCATAGACCAAAGAAAGTGTGACAGCAGTTCCAAGTAGACCAAAAACAAATGTAAAACCACCTGTGCGTTTAAACTTATACTTGGTATATTGGTATACTGAGGTATTGTAGTATATTATAATAGGTACAGAGATACTTGACATCACACTACAATGAAAAGAATTTGTTTGCGAGACAAACCAGGGAGTATTTTCCTCAAATCAGCATTGAAGTAGTCTAATAGAGCTGGATAGTATTCACTGGTTATTGTTGTATTCTTTTCCAAGTAAGCAATGTGAATTAATAGGATTTTTTATCACAAAATAGTGTGAGCAATAGTTTTTGTATAGTTTTTTGTAAACAAACATGTTAGTTTTTGTCTTTTGCATGTCTTTTTCGGGCTCCTCCTCTTTTCAACTTCTCATTTGACAAGATTGGTATCACTACGTAGGAACATCTATTTTAGATGACCGACAATATGCTAAAATATTTTCTTTCATACAGAAATACATTTTGGAATCTTCCAGAAACTCTTGAGAATTTCCATTTTGTATGAAACTTTTGTAGATGTATCAATAAATAAGCTCATTCGATATTTTTGACCACTTTATCTATAAACCAATTTAATTTTTCATATGACAACCTATTCCTAATTACTATAAATGTTGAACAGTTCTTAAATAATTCTTCTGGATTATTTAGGTAGTAAAACTTGAAAATTTAACAGTAAAATGTTAGAAAACAAATATAATCCTAATCAATACAAAACAAACTAAAATGTGCATAAAAAATCTACTTACTTTCGTCTGCAGCATCAATCCTACAGAAAGTGTTATCTGTTTTTACAAGATACATCAAATTGTTTTCTTCCGAATTTTTTAAAAGCACAGCGTCATCACTTGTTACCGGAACAAGAACCCCTTCTAGCGGTCCGAATTGAGTTCTCTTTGGAATGGTCTTTTTTGCAAAAACTGCATCCTCTGAAATATTTTTGCATAAACAAATAAGGACACAAAACTAGAATTTTTATGTGGGGAAACCACAGGAATTCACATAACCTCAAACGATTTCGTCGTTTTAGGTTCTGTGAGTATCAAATATAATAAAGTATTAAATAATAATTTTATTCTCGACTGTACTTACCTTTATCGACTTTAGTTAGGGTCAAATATGATTCTGGAAGCGAAGCCCTAGCTCTCGTCAATACAGGTTTATCTGTAATACTGTACACACATGACACTACAACAAAAAAGGAAAAAAATAAAATTGTAGTTCAATTTTTATATGTTCATGTAATATTTGATATAGTTATTTTCAGAGACTTTTTGAAAAGAAGCATAATATACATTAATGTAATATTTAATAACACTAAGACTAAAATACTCACATAACTGCTCTTCCGGATCTATATATTTCGATCTGGTCGTCATTTTGAATGAACTTATAGCGTTAGTTTTGCCAAGTTCGGCTTCAGATAAATTATTGATGTAATTATTTACGGCTTCAGCATTTACAGTTGCCATTTCGCTAGGGCACATATCTATGTCATCGTTTAGCTCTGACTTCAAAGTTCTGTCATCTAAAGTGAGAAGATCCGATTCCAGGATGGGATCCGGTGCAAGGGCGTCTAATAGTCTTTGGTCATCTTGAAGGCAGGGTTCTACTAGTAATTCTTGTGCGTCGACACTATATGAGATCCCTGCAAAAGAAAATTTAGAGATATCTTCTTTACTAAGGTTCTTGTTGGCATGTATAAGTTAAATATTGTGATTATATGATTGATTGTAATTAAAATTACATTTATGATTAGCTAAAATTTGACATTTCAATTTCCACTCTTAAAATCGTTTTCAAAATAATTTTGCTGAGAGTGTATAACCGCCAAAGTTGGAGTTATGTCAAATTTATTACAATATCCAGTGTGATTTTAATTGCAATCAATTGTGGCTGAATCCCATATAAACACAAGATTTATCTTGTTTACTATTAATGTAGAATCTACTTTAATATCTGAAGTCTAGTGTGATTTTACCACCACAAAGAAACTATCAACTATTGATATGTATTTGTCAAAGAAGAAGATCTTTGCTAGGCAACATAGTTATAGCAGATCTAGCAGCTTCTATATGGCAATTTGAGGAAAAACGCACACGATATATTTTGTAAGGGAAATTCCCATCAATAGTACAATAATATAGTAAATAAAAATTATAATACATACCTGTAGTCTCATCTGTGATCAAAAGCTCAACTTTTTGTTCCCGTTTTGGAACCAACATAGAATCAGCATTAGCACTATTAACAATATCAGCATCGTCTTGATTGACCATTTGTAAAAAATCACTATTAACTTCTCTAATATTATTATTGCAGAGCACAGTAGATATGGCGTCAAGGGAAGGATTTATGCTACTGATATATTGCTCATTTTGTACAGTGCCATCTTGAGTAATCAGCTGGTGTATTACAACAGGGTTATAATCAGCTGAAGACTCGTTAAAGACAGAACTATAATCTGCAACAGAGCCCATATTTGGGTCAAGGGGGCTAACATGGGAGTCAAAATCGGAAAATACTTCAGATTGGGATGTAATGACTCCATTTGGATCATCTGCTTTGTAGTCCTTCACATATTCAACCTGTAATAAAAAAATTCGATATGATAATCCTGAGTAAATTTCAACAGTTATGCTAAAAAGCCTAAAAAGTTATTAATATTATTCTTTGGTTATAGTAGACGATATTAAAAGATATAATATTTGAAAATATCACATAATAATTGATAATGCAACTTTTAAATATAATGACGACGCTTTTGCCCAGATATGCAACAATAGATGAAAGACAAATCCACAATTTCACTCCAAAGTCAAATTAGCATAATCATAATCATCAGAGACTAGACTCAGCATCAGATGAAAGCTGTCAAAAGTAATAAATCGCATTAAGATCAGCTGTTCACCATTCTGACCACTTTAATTCTGCAGTTGCCTTGAAATTTCAGAAAAATGTTATAGTGCGAAGTTGTGTGAATAGCAGAGATGTTTAAAATATTAGACAATAGTACATTCATAATTTTGAATGAATTTGTCTATAAGAAACATGTATTCAACGTGAGTGTTATATTTTCTCAATTAGATCAAAAATATCATCACATTGAAAATGTGGAGTGTGATATTCAACTGTTTATGTTCAATCAGTACGAGATTTTATGTTGATACATAACAATGGATGAAGCATGGATCCATCATTTCACTTTAAAGTCAAATTCGTAACCAGATGGCTGAACAGACAGCAACAGATGAAAGACATTCAAAGCGATCACAGACACAAACTTAAGTTGACAAAGTTTTGTATTCAGTATTTTGGAATATGTGATATAGTTTTTAATCAACGACTTTAAAAATGGAAGAAGCATTAGTAGAAAATTGTAGCATTATTAGAGCATTTGAATGACGATATTATGAGAAAAACAGTGACAAATGACAAAAATATATTATTCAAACTTTGCTTTCACATTTACTTTGTTCCTGAGATCACCAAATAATAATATGAGAAAAGCAATTTGAAACAAATTAACTGGTTAATGCATACTTTAGAGCCAAAACTGAAGTCAGGTAATCATATTGTAATTCTTTTTAAAAAAAATTCCAACTTCAAGGCACCAAAATGAGTAAGAGAACTAATTTTAAGCAAGTACTGTATAATTTTGACATTGATAAAACTCAAAATTCACAGTATCAATCACTGTTTTGTTTTGTTCCTTTTATCAAAGAATATAGAGACACATAGTATCATGGTCAACTAGTAACAGGGGTTGAGTGAAAACCAGACAGGATAAGTACCTCGCCTTCATAGAAACACTCTTGTATTGTTTTGATTTGCTAAATTGTGGTATTACCAGCCTCGTAAGTAAATTGTTTAGTGCTACTGTACTGTCAGTAATAAAGTATTATTTTTATTTATTTATTTAACCTCCTTTAAAACACAAAATGATTTGTTATTACATTAAAAGAGTGCTTACTACTGCTAAAAACTGATCAGATCAACATTGAATTTGCCTAGTGGTGCCCATAAAATAAACGCATACTCCAAATGAGGTCTTACCCGTGCATTGTAAGTTTTACCAGAGTTTCAAATCTTTTAAAAAATTTTGAATTACGAATTATGAAGCCAAGAGTTGTGTATGCCTTTCCAATGATGATCTGATAATGTTCATTATATCTCAAATTTTGTTGAAACATTATTTCAAGATCTTTGCAAGTGTTCTTTTTTCAAAGTACATTTTTTTTCCAAGAAACATACATTTTTAAGTTTGAGTTTTAGTAGTAGGCACTCAATATGACAACTTACATTAATTTGATTATAGTGTACAAGTTGTGGTTATTGATCTAATTAATGAACCAACTATTGGAAAACAACAAATTCTAAATTAAGTGTAGCTACGGACATAATCTTCTGTTTGTACCCTATTTGTGTAATAGTAAGGTAGTGTTTAACTAAGGTACATACAAATGCGTCTATATTCTTTGCATTTATTGTTTAATGTACTGTGCACAGTGGACAGATAAACCTTTGCATTTTATGGTTTAAGAGATTCCATGAGTACAAAAGATAAGTAATATAAAAATTACTTGTGAATAATGGTATACATGTGTAAAGAGCAAATAGATCGACATTTTAAATCTATAAAATAAATCCACATTTGACTTTAACAAAATGAATATATTATAAATAACAAACACTTACCGCAATATACAGAAGAGTAGGATTAACAATTTGATCAGAATGTGTACCCCAATCAGTGGCATCCACAATACCAATGTCTTGAATTTGGGCCCTTTCATTGTGGGGCTCTTCTATTATTGTATCCATATTGGCCTAGTTTCTTATTAATAACAAAACATATCTGAAAACGATCATACTAAAGTAATGAGTTTATTTTTAGAAACACAGCAAACTGTTCGATCATTAAACAATGAAATAATGAAATTGAAAAAGTGTATTTGGGGGAGATAATAACTTTTTCAACAACAGTTGCTAAACAAATAATAATTAATTTTTTAGATTGTTTTTTACTGCCGTTAATTTTTTTGCAATGCAAATACGTTTTAAAAATGACATACGTAAAAACAACAAAATTTATTTACACCTTTCTTACCTATTAAATCGCCTCCATATTCAATCTCTTCGTTCTTCTGTCAATATTGTCATTTGTCAGGTGTGATTTTTATCCATTAGTTCAACCACTTACACATAGAGGTCAGTCAAAAATAACACAACAATATTAATTATTAATACAAACACAAAAATATTATAACAAAATTAACTGAACTCAATTATTCATGATAATATATTAATTAATACTTTTATCTATTTTAGAAATAGAATTATACATTACAAATAACTAATAACATTGCTTATACATTTTTCGCACAATTTTTTTTAAATAATCTTTTTTGAAAACGATCCGTAATGGAATTCGAAACGTCAAACAATAGTTAAAAATGTAATATAAATGTCTTATTAAAGAATATAGACGTAGAATAGAATATAATTTCAAAACCTTTTTAAACTATTAAAGATTTCAAGATGGTTACATCTAATACAACCGTCTATGCAGTATTTTATAAATTAAAATAATCCATTTTTAATCATTTGTGGTTTAGCACAATCAGAGCAAAGCAGGTCTTCTCTCAGAATAACAATAACTGTCGTGTTATCAAAGAGGGGTTACAAATAATAATCGTTACTTCACAACATCAGTTTATTCTCAACCCTCAAACATACATCTTGCCCGAGCTTCGGCTACGTTCCCATGACATCCCTGTCATCTGTGTTGCCTAACTCCGGCGCCTATATCTTAATCTAAGCTAACAACACATCTCCTTTTTTTTATAAAAGATCCCTGTGTCATTAATGATCTTATACCTAAACTAACTTAAACTACTACAAACATAATCTGTTAAATGAACCGGTTTCTTCACAAGTCTTTTTGGCCTGCTAGGCTTTACGCACTCAAAGTCCGATACACTATCGCTTTTATCCTGACCCGATGGAGGTAAAACATGATTTCCACTTTGTTCGATTTTGTCCTGAAATACACTGGGTTCCCCCCTACTACTTTCCTCCATTATTTTACCCTGTATGTCACCATTGCTTTGATTAGAGCAAGGCATTAGCTTTGTGCTACTAGAAATTGGCGGAACATAATCATTTGAGGATTCTGGTTGGGTGCTCAATACAGGGAAACAGTAGGGTGCATGAATCAAATGCCATCTATTTCTTCTAAATTTCCCGGTTTCAGTTTCAATTATATAGGACCTGGGTTCCTGACAGATCGCAACAACTCGCCCATATTTCCTGATATCAACCACCCACACAGAATCACCAACCTTAAGAGGATCTAAATCCTTGGCATTGTGTCGCTTATTGTAGTTTTTCACTTGTTTATCCTTTATTTCATTCTTTTTATTTTTAGTGTTTGGTTCTTTTGAAAAGTTTAATAAGCTTGGAAGCTGGGGTAAGTTAGATCTTAATTTTCTATTCATTAATAATTCAGAAGGTGAAACACCACATTCTAGGGGTGTACATCTATATGCTAACAATGCCAAACTTAGGTCCTCTTTTTTATTTTTCTGAATTAATCTTTTTGCAATTTGTACAGTGCGTTCCACTCCACCGTTGCTCTGAGGCCAGTGCGGACTGCTCGTCGTATGAACAAAATTATATTCTTTTGAAAACTTTATAAATTTTGATGAAAATTGAGTACCACAGTCGGATCTAACTTCCTCTGGGATACCATAACGAGAGAAAATATCTTTAAGCTTAGGAATAATGGCATCTTCTGTCATATTGGTTAAAGTAAAAATTTCAAACCAATGTGAAAAGTAGTCAGTGGCAATCAAATACCACTTATCATAACATTTAAACAAATCAACCCCCAGTTTTTGCCACGGCCTTTGTACAGTATTGTCTTTATGAAATGTTTCTCTATGATTTACTCTGTGTTCAACACATTGGGGACAATGTGTGACAAGGTTATTAATCTGGGATGACAAACCCAGCCACCAAACGCTCTGTTTGGCACGATCTCGACATTTTACAATTCCCATATGGCCTGTATGAATAAATTCCAACACCTTGAGTTGAAGACTCTTAGGAATGATTATGCGAGACCCTTTTAAAAGTAATTGTTCCGAATAGGAAATTTCATATCTATATTGATAGTATGGCAACAATTCAAATGGCAATTTAGATCTTTCAGGCCAAGAAGACAAAGAATATTCTTTTAGTTTTTTACAAATATATTCATTTTCTTGTTCTGTTTTTATTAAATTCAAAAAATAATCTTTAATTGGTAAATTATGAATAATTGACTGCACATATGCTGCAGTTTCAGCAGTTAGTTCTTTATTAGCTAACGTATCTGTTTGTAAAGGGGCCCGACTTAAAGTATCTGCTACAATTAAATTTTTTCCCGGCGTGTAGATTACAGTATACTTGTATCGCATTAAACGCATTCGAAATCTTTGCAAACGTGGCGTTAACTCATCTAAATTTTTAGTTTGCAGAATTTGTAGTAAAGGTTTATGGTCTGTTTCAAAAATTAGGTTAGGAACTCCTGAAATAAAATCATAAAAATATTCTGCTGCCCATGTAAGTGCAAGAGCTTCTTTCTCAATCTGAGCGTATCGTGTTTCAGCTGAGTTCAGAAGCCTAGATGTAAAAGCCACTATTTCCCGAGTATGATCTACATTTTCTTGAAATAGACATGCACCTATACCAAAACAACTTGAGTCTGCACTAACAATTATGGTTTTATTAGCATCAAAAAACGCTAGATTTGGAGGGCTCTCTAACTTTTGTTTTAAAGTGCTGAAAGCTTTATCTTGTGCTGGACCCCACAAAAAGTTAATATTTTTTTTTAGTAAGTGTGTTAATGGTTCAAGAATCTCAGATTTATTATGAATGTATTTTGCAGCAAAATTAATCATACCCAGCCATCTTGACAGCTCAGTCTTATTTTTTGGTTCAGGAAAATCACGGATAGCTTTAACCCTATCTGGATCAATTAATATCCCTTGCTCAGAGACCATATGACCCAAGTATTTAACTGTTTTTGTTGCTATAGAGCATTTGTTTTTATTTAGTGTAATACCTTCCTTATGAAGTTTTGTTAGGACTGTGTTCAAAATATTGTCATGTTCCTCTATTGTCCTTGCATGAATAAGAATGTCATCTATATGGACAACACAGCCTTCAATGCCAGTTAAGATTTTTGAAAATCTCATAGTAAAATACTCTGGGGCACAAGATATACCAAATGGAAGCCTTTTAAAGAAAAATCTGCCAAAAGGTGTTATAAAAGTTGTTAACAACTGACTTTCCTTATTCAATTTTATTTGGTAAAACCCACTTGTGGTATCCAATTTTGAGAAGAATTTAGACCCTTTCAACTGTGCTAGTGTATGAGATATTTTCCCGAGAGGAAAATGTGACCGTAACACGTTTTCATTAAGTTTAGTATAGTCACCACAAAGCCGTACACAATCTCCCTTGTCCACACAAACAATTGGGCTGACCCAAGAAGTAGGATCTTCAATGGGTTCAATTATCCCTAATTTTAGCAATCTATCAATTTCAATTCTTAATTTTGGTAACAGAGGTAAAGGAACAGTTCTGGGAACGCTCTGTACATAAGGTTTAGCATCTGGCTTAATTCTAATTGACATTTCCATTTTAAATTCACCTATATCACTAAAAATACCAGGAAATGTTTTAGCAACAGACTCTAAATTAAATTTTGAAAACATATTAGTACTCTCAGATTGATTACAATGAACAACACTGCAACTGATTTGATTTACCTGTTTAAGCTTACAATTAGAAAAATTTAGAACATTAAACTTAATGATTGATTCTCTGCTTAATATAGGTTGTCTCAACTTCCTAATACAATATATTGTTTCATCATTTGTAAAACCGTCATAAGTAAATTTTATATGTAGCTTACCCACTGTGTCCAATTTATGATCGTCCGCTGCACCAATTGCATCACATGCCACAATTTTACCCACATATTCTGGAGGTAATTTTTCATAGGGAAAGCAGTTAACATCTGCTCCTGTATCCACAAAAAAAGGTACCTTAAATTTGTCATCCAATAAGATGTCTACATACCAACGATCCTTCTTGTCTAGGTACACTTGGCCAATAAAGGAATCTGTATGTACCACTTGATTTACTGAATCCCTTCCTTCGTCATCTGTACTACTGCTACTGGTGGACCTTGAACACTTAACAGCTCTGACAGCTTTCTTCCTGCACATCACACTCCAATGACCTCTACGTGAACAAGATCTGCATTCAGAGAACTTGGCTGGACATTTCTCCCTATTTTTACATGTAGGTATGCCACAGTATCCACATCTGTAACCTTGATGTCTTTTATCACTACGCTCCCTGTAGTCCTGTTTAACTGCACTAACTGACTGCTCCTGTCTCATAATTCTATTTTGACTATCTTGAAGTTCAGCTTGGCGTGCTATTTGTATTGCCTTCTCTAGTGTCAAACCATCATTTAGTTGCATTCTTTCGCTCACCTTTTTATCAGCTATTCCGATAACTATCCTGTCACGAATTAACTCATCTTTAAGAGCTCCATAGCTACAGTGCTCTGCAAGAGTATGTAGACTTGAAATAAAGTTTCCCACAGGTTCTCCTGGCCTTTGTACCCTTGAATTAAATTGAAATCTCTCAAAGATTGTATTTCTTCGGGGAATAAAATGATTGTCGAAAATCTGCATTACATCTTGAAAGGATGCATTCTCCACTGGTTGATTTTGAAGTAAAATATCTTCTGCTTCATTTCCCATTAAATACAACAGTAGGTCTAATTTATCCTTGTCAGATTTTTGTCCAAATCCACTTACAGACATATATCTCTCTACTCTTTTCTTCCATTGGGGCCATGTCTGGGGCTGTGTAAAATCAAATTCGCTTGGAGCCGAAATGTTCGCAAACACTTCTTTATTTATTTGGATAGGTGCATCCATTTTAAGGATTTTAGGTCCCCTCTGATTTATAGGTTATGCATAAGATTTGCACTGTTGTCACGTTCGACCACTCTTTGCTTGTTTAATGTTAACAAAACAAAGCACCAGCTGCCACCATGTCGTGTTATCAAAGAGGGGTTACAAATAATAATCGTTACTTCACAACATCAGTTTATTCTCAACCCTCAAACATATACATCTTGCCCGAGCTTCGGCTACGTTCCCATGACATCCCTGTCATCTGTGTTGCCTAACTCCGGCGCCTATATCTTAATCTAAGCTAACAACACAATAACATATTGTTATTATAATAGGGTACCTATAATATATCTACGTTGCTAAGTAACTTCGAAATGTCAACATAAATAAACAGTTAGACGATCGCGAAAATATAGATTGCAATTTTTAGATGAATTATTATGTAAAGAATAAAATGATATCCGGATGTGAAGAAACCAAGAGGTGAATATTTAAAAATAATTATAATTTTATACATAGATACCTACTTATAGTAGTAAAGATGAATTCTTCCATATTTTTATTTTAGTTTAATGCCAGCCGAAAGCATGGAAATAATACGAAAACACACTTTTTCTTGTCCAAAAGAATATTCCAGTTTATTAGACTGGAGTAATGAATCATTCTGGAAAGATTTACCGAATCCAAAGCACAATTCATCAACGAATAAACCAACTAAACCGATTAATAATAAACCTTCAAACAAAATTAGCATTGAAACAGTATTTGGGGACTTATTAAAAACGAATCCAAGTCAGAATAACCAGAAAATTATTGAGCAAGAACGTTTTTTTATCAAAAAAACTCAATTTTTATCCGAGAAATATTTTAACATATGGAAAACTGCAGTGGAACTAAAAAAGGAACAAAAAAGGCAAGAAGAAGCTAAGTTAAAACAAACTACAAAGCTTGATACCTTTATGAAGCAACTAAAAAAACGAAAGAAAAGTGAGAAAAGAGAAGTAAATATCCAGGAAGAAAAGGTAAAGATACGTGTTGTTAAAGACGTATCTAATAGTATTGTTAAACCGTGTTCGAGTTTTAAAAATAGGTTTGATGCACAAAAATCGATCATAGAGATACAAAAATCGAAACTGGAGGAACAAAGTAGGATAATCCAGGAGTTAAAACTGGGAATAATCAACGATGATCTTTTGAAATCGATAGAAAACACAAAAACCAATATTAGGGAAATATTTGGAAGTTGTTCCGGAAAAATCAAATACAAAATTCCTCTAATTTTAGGCGAAGAGCCTAAATTTTCCATTACTTCACACGAAGCGCCAAAAATAGTGCAAAAAATGGAGCAGAGAGCTCTAGAAAGGGCGCAAAATAGAGAAATAATTTTAGAACGGAAAAGACTGATCGAAGAGAAACGCCAGAGAATGCTGCAAGAAGCAATTGAAAGAAAGCGCGTCCTGGAAGAGGAGGAGAAGAAACGGAGTTTGGAACTCATTAAAGAAAGAAGACGAAAAGAAATGGAGATGGAAAGGATCCGATACATAAATAAACAGAAATATATGGAGAAGTTAAATACGGCCGTTGAATTTTATAACAGATTATTGTTAAAGAAGAGCTTAGTTCAGTTGTATAGTTACATGAAAGATGGACGTGATAAATATTTTCTGGCTGCGGACTATTATGAAAAGAAAATTTTGAAAGAATCTATGGTATCCTGGCAACAAGTTGTGGAAAGTGCTTACAAAGTTAAATACGAAATTGCAGATGCTCATTTTGAATACAAGTTATTAAAGAAAAGCATACGATGTTGGCAAGAGGTAAGCTTTGATGGTTTTGTTTAATTCGTACAATATTTTCTCTACAAACACCATAAATGTTTATTTTTTTTTGCTTCTAAATACTGTTACCTGTAAAATTACCTGTTTTATATACTGAATGCACATCACTCGCACAATCACGGAGTTGCCATTTATGTAAAAGAAAATCTTATGTATTTATCCTCTCTTAATCTAAATGAATATAATGTAGAGCAAAGTTCTGAGTTTTGTGCAATTTATGTACCTTCAATTATTGCTTTTGGCTTTTTATTGCATTGCACACGACATTTTGCTCCACAAATTAAATTACTATGGAATCAGAGGTATCTCTTAAGCTTCGGAGTCCCACAAGGTTCGGTCTTAGGAACTCTTTTGTTTAGTATTTATGCCAATGATTTGCCTAAAGTCATATCTCCGTACAAAACCATACAATTCGCGGATGATACAAAATACGTTATATAAAAAAATAATGTTGATTTAAAAATGTCTCATGTGTCTTAAGTTTATACTAAATCTAGCTCATTGTTTGCTTTAAACAAACTAAAACTTAACTCTGATAAAGTTCATTATTTGTTATTGCCCAACTCGCAAGGATAATGAACTTTGAAACATTAAAAATAATATATTTTTCCTCAATTTTTAGAATGCAAAAGAAAGCTGTCAGGATTTTAGCAGGCGTTAGTTATCTAGAACAGTGCCAACCTTTTTTTATCAAATTCAAAATTATGCCGCTACCTACTCTCATGATATTTCAAGTTCTAACTGAAATTCACATAAATAATAACACAACAATGTTAAGAAAATAATAAATTGATTTAAAATGATATCAATAAAAAAATATATATAATACAAAACTAAGTCTAATGGTTCGCTTTTATTGTATTCTTTTGAGAACCCGGTTAACTTCAAAGCGCTGTAAAGCCCAGAAAAATTAATAAAATTATACAAAGTTGTAGTGAAGATTATTCTTCGAAAAAGCCTATTTAATATTGCTCTGATGTAATTTTATTGTAATATGGCTAGAAAAAGATATATGCCCCAAGAGAAAATTTTTTTTCCAAAATGTTTAGTTATTTTTGCTACAAATAATACCCAATATAATTTTCTGTAGGGTTGCTAGTTTACGAGATACATCGCGAAAACCTTTTGCACCCATTATTCCAAGATGGCAAGCATTCAAGAACCCGGTCAACTCCAATGTGCTGTAAAATCCATAGAAATTAAACAATTATAAAGCATTCTATAAACGACTGACTACTAAATATTTTTGTCTAGTCATACACATTTCATCTAGATAACATTTTAGTCCGCCCTTTTGTCTATATTTTCGAGTATCTCTTATACTAGATTTATATTTCAGAGTAGATTTGGTAGGTACATATGTCAATTATTTGTTTTAGATTCATATAGAAAGCATTAGAAATATGCAAGTAGCAGAAGATTTGTACGATTTTAGACTAACAAGTAATGTTTTCATTCATTGGAATCGATACGTTTGCATAGAATTTATGAAACAACACAAAATGATGAAGAAAGCCGAAAGCCACTATAAGAGGTAAGAAACATTCAATATATATCTACGAGAATCCTGCGTGTTGCCAAATATCCTGATATGCTGCTATTTGGAGCTACTCTCACTTAATCATTTAGCATTAATTTCTACATTTTAAAAGTAAGGAGTAGTCATTCAGAAAATTACATAGATTACTTCAGCTTTTTTGTTACAGGTGGCTCCTCTTCCATTATTTTCATCTCTGGAGATCACTCAAAGCTGTCAACGAATTGTTAAAGGCGAAAGAACTGAAAAAGGCTAAGTGGCGGCAAAAAGTTTGGGAAATTTTACCTGACTACAAACCTCTTATTGACATTTAGCTCCAGATGGATATTTCCGTTTATTAGTAACTAATAATCAGACTAATTAGTTAACTGTTAAGACATCCATTTATTTAGTTTTTATTATATACAGTTTTTTACATTTATACTGTACTTTTACAAGATTAAAACTTTTTTGAATACATTTTTGGTTTAATTTGTTAAGCGAGTAACAAAAATTACTGAAGAATGCAATGACTTGTTCTTTTAATTTGTAAATTCCATTGAGTTGATCTTTATAGAATTTAACATTATAAGGGCTTATTAGGATAAATACAACAATTATTTATTTCAAGTTTATTTTGAAACAAAATCAGTATCAAAGTTATAATCTTCAGATTCATTAGATTTATTTAGATTAAAATTTTCTAAGCCCGAGGAAAGCTGCATCGCCACTTTTTCTCTTCTCCTTTGATCCTTCTTCTCTTTTTTAAACTGTTTCTTTCTGATTTGGTTCAGTTTTTGGTTACCTTCCAACTCCATTTCAGGGTCTAGTTTCTTCAACCTTGCAACACCTCTTTGTTTTTGCTTTTTCTTGTTGGAGACTATGTTTGTGTTTGCAGTTATCTAAAAATTAAGGAATTAATTTATTATCCATTCTAAAACTTTTATTCAATTACTCACCAATTCATCTGCCTCTTCTTCCATATCCTCGATAGAATCTACAGGTCCCAAACTTTCTAAAACAAATGCTTTTGATTTTGTATCTGACTCTTTTTCGATTTTATTTAAAATGTCAGTTTCCATAGTTTCGAAACTGTCTAAGTCGAATTCTTTAGCTACTTCAGTGACAATTGCTGCACTAATGTGCACATTATTTTGAGGTTCTTCAGGTGGTACTGTATAGTATTTGATTTTTCCACTAAAAAAAAATGATATCTTATGGAAAAACACTACAAAAATGAAAATATAAATCACTTCTTCCAGACAATGTTGAAAACAGATACATTTAATAACATTTTTGTAACCTACATTTTTTATTCAATAATCATAAAATTACTCACATGTGTTTATTACACTTGTGATTAATTTCCATAATTAAACTAATAAGTGATTAATAGTAACTAGTTTCATACAAAAAGCGATGACTGATAAATATCTTTGTGCCAAGGTTCTTGGTTTGGCAGATATTTTTGTTCTTAGACTTAGTTTCTTCTGAACCAAAACTTTTGAGGTTATATTGTGAAAATGAAATCTTGTAAAAAATGTTTAAATCAATTATGATCAAATTGAGAAAGCTCTTGTGCAAGTGAGCAGATAGCAATTGTTGTTTATCGAATTATTTTGTTTTTCTGCAAAGAGTGTGTGCTTTCCTCTAAAAAGTACCTGTTTAGTACCTGAACAAGTTCATTTAACCAGAGGAGCAAATCAAGTCCTTAAAGGAGGAGTTTGACACAGTAAAGCAGCAGCAGTAGTGTGTTGGTGGTAATGTGGAAACATTATTGAGTGAAGTTGAGGATCATGCTAATAATTTGATGGTGTATGGCATCTCAGACTCAGTTTAGAAGCCATTACATCCCATGAAAGACTCATAGCAACTCTTTGACATCTTCTGAGAAACCTCATCACCATTTATAGTTTCTATACATTTTATACATTTAAAAATTCCAATAGATCAAGGTACCAAAAAGATGGTTTGTATAATATGTATTCTCCAGTTCAAGAGATAATCCATGCCCTTACTCTTTTTAATGAATTAAATGAGAGAATTGTGAGTGCATTGACATAAGTCTGACAATATTAGGGTTTTTGGGGAAAAAGGAAGTGATTTAAAGTAAAGCTAGTCTTGAACTAAGCCAAAATCTGGCTTTGAAGGCATGATAATGTCAATTCAACTTACTTATTCCAGTCTTCTAATAAACCTCTGGCAGCAGCAACGGCATCAGGAACACCACCTTTCTTAAATCTTCCTGTCCTTGCAGCTTTTAAACTGTAAAATTCCTAAAAAATGAAACTTTTGTTCAAAATAGCAAAACAATATTTAAATTTGAGGATACTTTACTCTTACTTTTACTAATTTATATTAATCTAAACACATATTTATACTAATAAATGTCACAAATATTCAAAATTAAATATTTTTTAGAAATAAATACCTCTGGTGAGCTATATTCAGTAACGTCATACATTTCCATCATTTGTTGTTTAGTAACCCTTTGTAAAATTGCATTGGCAGGTGTTATAGGATCACTCAAGGCAGAAATTCGAACTGCATTCCTCAATGAAGCACTACTGTCACTTCCAGATGCAAAAACTATACCAGGAGAATCTAACAGCTTTATTTTTGAGTCTAATTGTACTTCCTGCATTGCCCTAGAAAGGAAACCAATTAAACCAACAAGATTATAAATGTTCTATAGATATTTTTTCACTTACCTAGTAACACCAGGTGTAGCACCAACATTACAAGCTCTAGACCTTTTTAAGCTGTTAATAATTGAACTTTTTCCTACATTAGGCAAACCTACAATTCCAACTCTTATAGAAGTTTTGATACCCTTGTTCCTACAATAGTTTGCTAGTAGAGACATTAACAGTTCTGCTCCTACAGAATTTGAACTCTGCAATACCTTATTTCCCTTTCCAAGCTTTCTCTGTCCTAACTTTTTACTTTGATTTTGAGTTGATGCTTTGAATGCTATAGTGGGAGTGGTTTTCTTCAAGTACTTTAGCCATTGATCCAAAATTTCCCTAGGAACTAAGTCTGCCTTGTTTAATACTAAGACTAGTCTTTTATTACCTTTTGTATCTAACACAGCCTGCTCTACTTGCTTACATCTAGTACCTACAATAATCATATTTAACAACAAAACAATTAATAAAATATCTATAACTACAATACCTAAAGGATCTCTAGCATCAACTACTTCCAGAATAACATCTGCAGCTTCAATAACCTTTTTAAATTCTTTGTAATATTGTTTAAGAGACTGTTCATTATTTGTCTCATGCTGCTTTACATTACTATCTGGTGTTAAATGTTCATGAAGTTTACTCCTTATTTCAGCATTTTGCACTAACCCCTGAAGTCCTGCAGTAAGTTTCTCATTTTTGCTTTCCTCTTTCTGCTTTTGTCTTTCCAATTTTGCAGCTTCTTTCAGCTTAAGTTTTTCTTCTTCCTTTTGCTTCTTTAGTGCTTCTACTTCTTTAAGAATGTCCTCTTTAAAAGGACATATGTTTGGGACTTGTATTATTTCCCTTTTCTTTTTGGGGTTGTTCTTATTTTCTTTCTTGAGTTTTCTATTGTGCTCGCGGACTTTCTTTTCAATCTTATATCTAAGACGCGCAGGCTGTCGTTTAGACTTTTTTCCTAAAAAAGAAACAGTTGAGAATGTATGTTTAAATAATGTAAAATAAGCTTACTTAAATGAAACTTAGCCATTGTACTTTATAAATATTTATACTGATATTGAACTCATATGGATAAGAACGTGTTTTAAAAAGAAAATATAACCTAAAATCACATATTTCGTCTTCTTTACGGTAAAATTATCATTTACAATTTTCACAACACTTGAGTTGAGAGACAGCTGTCAGTATAAATTGAAAGCAAACTTTGAAACAAGAAGACATGAGTGGACATAACCTTTACGACAACAACAATCAAACAACGTGTTCAGTGTTTAGATTTCTGTTTTAAATTAAAATGGGTAAAATTAAGCAAGAAGCCGATGTTAGTGTAAAGGAAGAGCCCCAAGATGAATTATCTTACGAGGAAAAGATAGCAAATTGTAACACTATTTCTAAACCTATGGCATCCAAGAAGCTTGCTAAACGATGCTACAAATTAGTTAAAAAAGGTAAATTAACACACTCATAAATATTTATCAGCTTGTTCTTCATATTATTATCTGTTTAAGATTTAAACTAGACTCACTTTTTCTTAATTTATATTTTCCTTTCATTATATTTTGTTACAGCAATGAAACAAAAAACTTACATAAGGTGTGGCTTGAAAGACGTTCAAAAGAGGCTAAGAAAAGGCGAAACGGGCATCGTTCTTTTTGCTGGTGATGTATGGCCCTTGGACATAATGTGCCACTTGCCTGTAGTGTGTGAGGACAAAAACATTCCTTATGTTTTCGTTCCAAGTAGAAAAGATCTAGGAGCCGCAATGGGTGTAAAACGAGGGTGTTTAACAGTTTTAATTAAGTCGCACAATGAATATAAAGATGCCTTTGATGAATTATCAGAAGAAGTTAAGCATTTGGGTGTTGCTCTTTAATAGTAGTGTTCATTTTTAAGTAATATTTTTTATATTAATGTTAATATCTAGTTTAAGATATTGCAAGATGTAATACAACTCTTGTAATATAGTTTGTATTTATATAAACAGTATGAGGTTTTATTAGTTTTTTTACTAAAAATTTAAATACCTACACATGGACGTCCATGCCTACACTAAATAAATCATTACAGTAGAATTATATTGGGAGTGGAGGAGATCAGAAGAGCATATGTTACCTACTTTAAGGAAGAAAATCCTCTGCCTTGACAATTTGAGAAAACTGGAATAACTGTTTTTACTTTGCTGTTTACTTTTGTTTGCTTTCAACCTTAGTTTGCTTTTTCTTCATATAAAAGATCTTAGTTAAGTTTAATATCTTGAATTTGTTTGAGTTATTATCACTTTTTAACTGGTTGCACCAGTCATATTGATGGTCTGGTATGCTAAATCTCTTTTTAAACATGGCAGACTGAGTCTGTGATATATTACAAACAATACCTTCCAGCACTCAAAATCATCTAAATATCAGTAAGGGGTGCTATCATTTAATCAATTTTATTACCAGCACAATTGTGCCTTTATACTACAAAATAAAGGAAGTTGAATAATGAAACAAACAATATTTAATACAAATGTTTATTAGAATAGCAAATTATTGCACACAAACATGATTGTTGAGTAGGTAAATGTAAATGTGTCGGAATACGTGTAGGTTAACCTAGTTTTCTAGCCATTACAATGTTATAAGTGAAAATCAATACCATGTCGATTGTCAATTAAACTAATCAAACAAAATTATAACTAGAGCGATCCTTTCTACAAATCATTTTTCCGTTTGATATGTATCTATTTAGCTGACTACATTCGTTATTTGAAAGTTTTTTATGTAGAACTTGCTTTTGTATTGCTAGTTGCATAAGATTTTTGTTAACTGATTGCATAACTTTATTTTGGTATCTTTCTAACTATGGTAATTAAGTAAAATAATTCTAATACTTATTATTTCCAATTATATACTTAACATTTGTGTTTCTGACAACTAGAACCGTTTTAAGATACCTAGTTCTCGTTACTCTATTTTAATACATATTTCTGAATTTATTAGGTTTCGAATTTGGTAAAAAGGATCACCTGAGCATATAAAACTTACTTAAAAATATATCTAAATGTTTTCCAATTGACTTCAACATTTAAGTATAGGAAATATACAATACAAACTTAAAGACTTTATAGAAAATACGTGTGCCACGAAAAAATTGCTCAAACAATACATAATATCACAGATCTGAAATTGATATTTCGAATTACGCCATAAATATCTCTCTCGCTTTCGTTCTAAAACAGGTAGACCAAATTTGTAACTACGGTGCACGAGAATATTATTTCTAGAAACTGAGAAATTGGCAATAAGGTCAAAAAATAATATATCCACTATTTAAGATATAAAGATGATATTGTTATCAAAGAGGTGTAACTTAATATTAAAAATAAACAAGGAAAAATAACTTTTACTGCTGGTAGTCAATTTTTAGTAGCTTTTTAAGCAACTGTGTCGATTATTATTATCTGCAGCTCCTATCTAGGGATCTTTAACATAAAGAAATTTTGAAGAGAGAGTTTGTAGTGAAAAGTGGATTGGGAACAATGATAACTCTCTCAACTACACATACAAGGCATGTATTGAATTATTAATTCAAAATTGCACCGATTTGTAACAAATTTAAATCCACCGTTATAACACACATAATTTCCTTACAATCTATTAGATTTTTTGATGACACAAGTTTCACATTCCACAATAGCCTTTTTAGTAATCATATCAACGGCTACAACTGATTAAAAATGATCTTCGAAAGAAGTACTATAGAACTATACTGTAGATACCACTTTCTAATTTATCTGAAGATATCCTAAAAATCACAATGCTATTTTAATCTAACTGTGATATCTACAATAATGTTTAGCTTAATAGTATAAAGAACTTATTTTGGTACAAGTAGGGATTATCAAATAATAGTGCTGTGTTTGATCTCTTCCTCAATGTTACTTTAAAACATACTTAGATCGAGGCCAACTAAGTCAACTGTCAAATTGTTATTATTATTCATTGACAACAGAATGGTGTTTTTTTCTGTGCACCCACAATTATAAACATTTACATGTTAAGACCATTCCAAGAATTTTAGCACTAGCCTCATATATAAGAGATTTAAAAACTGAGTTTTTAGAAGTTTACTTGACAATAATTATTATAGTATAATAAAATATTTTAAATCTGCATTATTTATGACTTAACTTAAAAAATACAATTCTTTATCTGTCTTTTCAACGACCATTAGAACGTTTTGTTGGAATAGACTATTTCCTTCTTATTTAACATTTATAAAATCCCTTTTTGTATTAAATAAGTTCCAAACACGAAAAGAACGTCATAAACAAATAAAAATTGGCGGCAATGAAAGAGGGGCGACTACGCTGCCTTTAGAAAGTTGGTCCTAATCGAGTAGTTACAAAATAATAAACAGTAGTGGAACACTCATGTTACATATTTTTTTAGATTATAAAACTTTATAAGAGGTAATTGAAAACTAGACGGACCTCTCGGAGCTTATACTTAATTTAAAGTGTGTTAAGGATTTTAACAAGCACCAACCTAAGTTTATATACCATATAAATAATTTAACCAGGCATTATCTAGTTAATTTGTTTAATATTCGAATGAACATTTTTAGATAAGTATCAATATTCCATGGAATCTAAAAGTATCTATATTTGCGAAATAAAAAGTATTAGACTGGTATTCTTTAACTAAAATTTGTATATTTATATTTTATTTTAAATCTTTTGCGAGGCTTCTTTTCTGAATCCATGCGCAGATGGGTTGCCAAGCACCTTGCGTGAAATCCGGCAAATGCGCATTAATATTTTAAGCGTACTGCCTATCAGTGTGAATCATATGAGTGATGAATGTAAAAGATAAGCAAGGAAACTTGATAGTGGACAAATTAATAGATACGCTAAAAGAATTTCACGTACCAGAAAAAATAGTAAGATTGGAAAAATGACAATTGGAAAAACTATTTGTGCTGTGAAATGCAACGGTATAGTCCATCGAGCAATAAGACAAAAGAGGGAATCTAATCCTTATGAAAAGGAGACCAAAAAAGTGGCCTCTGATGGCGGACATATCCGGAAATGCGAATGCGCCAAATTTAAATTTTCCGACACTTATCAACAGTAGCTATATAATATTTCGCAGAATGTGTCTTAGACGAGAAAGTTTTAATTAATTATTAATGATAAGAGTCTAAAATGCGACACAATTGTTAAAAAACTTCAATATAAATAAGATTTCATGTGACATTTGGGACAAACAATAACATAACCCAACTAAATTTGATGTCAAACAAGGAAAGAGACTCTCTTTCCTTGTTTAATGTGGCCTCTAAAGATCGCACTTCCTGTCTAACAATATGTTTACCCCCACTACCTTTACATTCCCTCTATTGTCTTTTTGCTCGATGGTATAGTCTCAGAAGAATTCGAAGTGAGAAAAGGTGTTCGCCAAGGAGACCCGTTGTCTACATTGCTATTCAATATATTTCTAGAAAAAATTGTAAGGGTTAGTGGGATAAATAGGTCCGGCACTATTTTATACAAGGGGCACCAATGCTTAGCATACGCTGATGATGTGGTTCCCATTGCTAGAAATTGAAAAGAACTGGCAAATATAGCAAAAAGACTGATTTGGGAAAGCTCTAAAATGGGACTGAAAGTTAATATTAATAAATCAAAGTACATGGAAATCTCGAGCAAAAAAAATAATAAACAACAGGAGCTCTTTTAAATTAGAGGTGGAGAATGGATTAGTTGTAGAATTAGAAAAGTTGAATGAATACATGTACTTAGGTACCTTTATTGATTAGACGTGCAAGGAAGAAACTAAAATCAACCTGAGTTTGACCAAGAGCAACAGATGTGCTGGGGCCATCAACAAAATGATTAAGATCAATGGACTATGATCAAAACCATACAGAATAGATTGGAAGAATGGGAAAGAAAGATACTTCGCAGAATGTTTGGTGAAAAAGTAGTAGGGAAATAATGTAGAAAACGAACTAATATAGAAGTGTACCGATTGTATGCTAACTCTATAATAACAAAAGTAGTGAAAAAACGCAGATTGGAATGGCTCGGATGTTTGTAATTGGGGGTAAAAAAAAGTGATGAAGGCCAAGAAAGAAATGGATAGATGCAGTGATGGAAGATGTCAGATAGATGGGAATCAAAGATTGGAAGCTGACAGCTAAGAACAAAAAACGATGGTAATTATATATACAGCAATGGACCTAAAAGGCCTGTTAACTCTATACATAAATAAATTTTAAGGTATAATTAACACGATGTGGACGTCCGTCAGAAGATCACCGTTTTCTTTCCTGACATCTTTATTATATCGTTGTTTTATCCCTGGCACTAAGTATGTCGTCATCACCAACATGGGCGTTAAAGTCACCTATAATAAACATATATACAATCTGTGGCATTTCGTTTACTGTGTTTTGGAGATGTTCGTAAAAGCTTTCTCTTTTATTTAGAGAAATTACGTAAAATAATTTAGCTTGGTCGTTGAACAGCTTGGTACTCTTGGCAGACAGTTATGTTTTTATAAATTACTGAACTCTTAACTTTTATTAAAGAATAGATATTGATCTCTTGTATATATATCTAAGCTTTATCTAAATTTAGATACTCTCCCTAAAATACAACAATTTTGTGCAAATACAGAAGAAATTTAATCAGTTCTGTAAACATTTAATCGATACTCAAAAAAATCAAAATAAAAAGAAAGTCAAAGGTGCTGGTTCAAATTCTACACACATTAATTTTAGTTTTGCAAAGTACGACGGATTAGTTTGAGAAAACTTGGTAGAATGCGGTATAACTAGTTCAATATGTCTACGTTTTTACTTAGTATGGTAAAGTGTCCTTAATATTATGCACTGTTCAACATTTTATCTGAGTTTGATAAGAAAAGATTTAAGGATTTTGGAACAACATATGAACAAGTTTAAGTTCAAAATATATAAAGATTTTTGTGGATGTTAGGTTTCTTTTCA